TATATATATATATATATATATATATATATATATATATATATATATATATATATTTATTTATTTATATATATGAGACAAGTATACTCGTTCGACGTCCTCATTCGCGTCTCAAGACATTCTATTTTATTTTCCTCTTTTTTTTGTTCTTTTTGTCTTTACAACGCTGAGTTTTCGTCAAAGCGAATCACCAGCTGATTTTTTCGAGTATAAATTTCGCCTCAATTTTTGTCGCCAAACGCCTCTCACACGAATAAAGAGAGACGCGTGTTACTTATTTGTGTAAACTTGATTTCAATAGTGTTCGCATTCATACATGACTTGCCCTTAACAGAAAAACGCTTTTGAGCGAGCATATAGTAGAGAATAAGTTAATTGTGCCGTTAGATGCATACTGAAACACGAAACATACATTATACACATCCTGCGTTCCAATTATAGTTGACTGCCTGTATAACAACGCGTTCCCGCTAATGATAATATTTGTTCTCTCCTCCGTACACAATAGTTATGTATAGTTGATAATGTTACTAATTATATAAGATTAATCATACACAGTGTTTCTCAATATGTCGGGTATAATTTTTTAGGTAAATTCAGCACAGGAGAATAGTCTAAAGGTTCGTGCGAATATCTTCTATTTTACCAATTTCTGTATTGTATAATTTATTTGCATCAAATACTCCGAGCAATCATTTCGTACTTTATTTATCTGAAAACTGCGGATATTAATATTAATTTTTCAACATTGATATTAATATTATCAATATATATCCAATATTGATATTAATATGTTCATTAAATAATATGTAGATTAATATGTTAAGTAATCGAATATAGGACAAACCTTCGTATGAACTTTTCTCGTTATTTTTACTGGACGCACCTCCGAAGTTACACCCACGTATTGGGATATATGCTGTATAACATGTATGTATAAGTATACGAAAGGCGCGATTTGAGTAAAATTGTAATCGCGTGTCATCGTCGCCGCAATCTGATTTCGTAATCGCGTCGTTTCCAGAAATAAATTCTCTTTCCGTTTTGAAAATTCGAAATTAAATTATCGATATTGCGTCGTTGCTTTCGTGGAGGAGCCTCCTATTTACTCGTAAGAATTTCCAAACAACGTATACAGAGGGCAAATATTTTAGGTAACGATGTCACAGAAATCCGTAAGATTAATTCTCGATAAATATAATCGGATTTCTTAAATGTTATGGTATTAAAAAAAAACATAATTGCACGATTAAAATTATGTTCTCGTACATTTGTGTTAAATTTTAAATATCAAATTTTTCAAAGTGGTCTGATAGAGCCCAAGAGAGAGATAAGATAATCAAATTTACATGATACCTGCTGAGAGTCAAATATTAACGTTAGAGAAGCACAAATATCTATTACAATGAGGAGCTTTCGCGAGAGCAACGGTTACCTATTGTCTAATGAGACGCAAAACTCATACCCCAGTTAGTATTTATTAATTAAGACCGTATAATAATGTGCCGGTCGTAGTAGAATTAACATCGTTGCCGATACTTATTATCTCAATGTAATGATTGCCGTTGAGCCGCATGAAACTCGTAACTCGAAGAAACTCAGAATAAAATTTCACGGCGAAACTTTATGTGGAAAAAATTGTCTTAAATGACTTGTCCGATGCCAGTTATAGAAATTAACCAATTAAATGTTGTGAATTAATCGAAGCAGTTACACGCAATTCCATAATTTCAAATACATCAACTATTTAGTTGCTACGAATTAAATACTATTTATTTCAGCTCTTACGAATCAAGTAATTATTATAAATAAAGTATAAATAAAATCAATTTACAAATAGGAAAATAATTATCGTTGTAATAGTTTACGAACGAAAGAAAAATGCAACAAGAACAAGACATTGCAAAATAAAATTACAAAAATGTTGCAAATAACCCTATCCTATTTAATATTTTTTGTTAAATCAGATTATATAGATTATGACTAAAAAATTTCATTTCACTTGTGTATGTACTCGTGCCTAAGATAAAGTTACGAGATTTTTGCGGCTCCTCTCGAAGAGTATATCTACCTTTCTATTATTGATGCATAAGAGAGAAAAAGAAAAAAAGGAACATAATGAATGTCTACTTTTAAGCAAATCACATTAAAAAGGCTTTACTATCCGAATACCCCTCTATCTAATACAATACACGAATCAACTCGTTGCTACATTTGAGAACTTATCGCTTTCCGAAGACTTATATTCTGTAGTGTAAATAGGACATGTATATATCATGCACACGTAACTAATAAAAGAAGGATATTCCAGAAAATTTGTATAACGTGTGTTCGACGGAAAACTACACGAAATCAAGTAGTATTCCCCCTCGTATCGTTAATCGCTAATTGTTTTATATCTACTTTCTAATATTTATTTAATTTTAACGTACGCTTCTAAATATAGATAAAGAATTATTTTTTAATATAATATTAATCTTGTTGCTCTGTTTGAATTTATTTCACCAATTTTTATTCTCAAAATGCGATTATTTCGTAACTGTTACTTCTTGAAATTTAATATTACTGATTTTCTATTTTAAACAAGTATTTTTCTAGTACAAACAGATAAATATATTTGGTTAATAATATGAGAGATACAAATGTCCATGTAAATTCGGATATATAACACTTGTATGAGATACGAATAAAACAGCAAATTTAAGAAATTAAAAAAAGAATAAGTGAATAATCTTCTAACGCACAATTTCTTATATTAATTATATACTAATTTAATTAATCAAATTTTTACAATATCCGAATAAAACCAATTTCTCCAATTTAAGAATTCGTTTAACTAGTTTTACACATTTGATGTGTTGTTACATATGTTTTACAAAGTCCTATGTCACTTTGTAATACTTTATTTTACGTGGAAGTGAACAAACTTCTTATATTTTTTTTATATTTATTTTTATAATAATAAATATATAAGAACAAAAATATTCCTATATAATAATATTTTATCTTTAATAGTGCGATCATACAACACATCCTGAATGAATCTTTTGTTTATTCATCATTATATAATATACATTATCCTTTTTCTTTTTTTCTCTATAAATATGTATATATATATATATATATATATATATATATATATATATATATATATGCACTGTATAAAATTATTTTGTTCTTTCTCTCTCTCTCTCTCTCACTTTAGTATCTTACAGACAGCATATATAAATATTGTACTAACAACGAAGCTATTTATATGAAGTACAACTGAGTAATACATCTCGGACAAAAACCGATGAATTAGGTACAAATTCGGCAAGTTGCTGTTGTATCTCGAGAATTTCTATACTATATGGCGCATGGATATCACTAATTGCTATCGTGTGTCCAAACAATTTGAAATCCATTCAGGTGTATCGTTCTTCTGCGCCATGCAAAGTTCGCCATAATAATAAATTCTCAAAGCCTCTCTTTCTTTTTTCACTCGTATAATATACTTCTCAATATTAAAAAGGTAGTCTTTGCCGGAAACTGTCAGCATCATTTAACGTGATATTACAAATCCATGGAATAAAATTATATTATACAAGTATACACAATATACACAACTTAAAATGTTCACAAGGTAACGCAGATACACTGCAGAAATCTTCGCAGAATCTTCGGAGAATAGGATTTTCGCGGAAGCAGTATTCAGGTGTCTTCTACAGGGTTGACGAAAAGTGCTGTCAAGGCGAACAGCAGGAATACAAATCCTCCAATAATAGTTACTGAAAAAATTTAGAGATCAGAAATACGAGATATAATTATATTTTATTTTTAAATATAAATATATGTCGCATAGTATCTCGTAAAGAGATCAATTTTTAACATTACCTGTCCTCACTGAAATTTTTTGTGCTATTATACGTCCTCCTAATACTGCTAAGCCTGTACAAAAGGAATGACCTAGTATTCCACCTAGTATAACTCCATAAACATCCTGAAATTAATATAATTATAGTTAAAAAATTATATATCATCACTTTTTATCGTACAAAGTTATATCTGATCGTATAAGATCTTATATTTAACAATCGATTTTATCTAAATCCAGGATTCAAATTTAATATCTTATCTAATGAACATATATATATGAATGTGCACACATATGCGTAAACATCAATGAATGCTAATATTGCAATAAAATTGCTGTTTTACCTCTCTCGCAGCGAGGATAATAGTCGTTAGTTGTGAGCGATCGCCCCACTCCGCGAGGAAAGTTAGACTGAATGCTTGGAGAAATATCCTGGAAAGCAGCATGAATGCACTGGTTTTAGTGGTTTTTCGTATAACGCCAGTTTCAGGATCTTGAACTAAGGTACTTGCTGTCTCCTTTTCGTACTGAAAATGATAATGTTTAATGATCATTTAACTTTTGTAAGAATGTCTGTAACATTGTTGAACATACGACTTTCTTTTTGTATACTTTAGATGTTTTTTAATTGTATCGACATGTTTATTTTTTAGTGTTTTTATAATTCTCTTCAACAATTGTACTTACGACACAAATTTTTTAATATAATTGAAAAAAGTGAAGGTAAAAACTAAACGAAAAATTATATAGAGAATTATAAATTTTTATAAAAATCTTTAATTGTATTTTTATAATTTTTTACATAATTTCAACATTATATATATATCCAAAAATTCTGTGTAATTTGTTTTTAATATCATCTTTTTATATGTTTACACATGAACGAAATACGTCGTATCTTTAAGATTTATAAGCTTAACATAACAGATTAAAGTACAAAACACTGATAAGAATTCATTTAAAACATACCTCATCTTCTCTTTTTCTTAAATCTGATTGAACCTCCTCTAACTCTTCTTGTGCTTCTGTTGGTGACATATAGTATCCGTCTCGTAGCATTTTCAGTCCAAATAAGGCAAAGAGCAAAGTAGAGATATAATAAGTATATGCACGAGGAATTATCGTAGCTGCATATCCAAACACCACTGTAAATAAAACATACCGCTGTAGAAATCGCAAGGTCTATAAAATTATTAGAGAAATGAATTGTTGCAAATTACCTATCTATTTTAACCCTTATCTAAGCAAGTTTGTTGTATTTAGAAGACTTCTCTTGTATATCAAATAAAACAAACTCCTAATAGCTAAAATTTATAACGATTTATTTCGGCTTTATTTTCATAATTTGGTTACATAAAACTTATACATTTACTGCAATTACTTAAACATTGAATGTATTTATCTTGTCTGGATAAGGGTTGAACTAAATATCATAAATCTACATTTATGATTTATAATTGAATTTTATTTTCATGTAATGAACATATTTAGGTATGAGTTACAGATAATTTATTTTTGCAAATGGCTATTGCAAAAATAATCTATAAAATTAATTATCACTTTGATATGTACTGATACCTGATAGAATAGTCATTAATGCAAGTGCACTGATAGCTCCAATGAATACCGTTAATCGAGGATGTTTCATTGCCATAATAGCAGCAATAAAAAAAGTTTTATCACCTAACTCGGATACTACAATGACTGATAAGGATGCTATAAAAGCATGCAAAAAACCCAATTTCTCTGGCTTTTCTGACACAAACTCATGTCTTCTCTGAAAAAAAATTTTATTAGAAAATTGTATAATTATTTTTATCTACTTAATATTTTATTGTTTTAATATTCAAATGTCTAAATTAAATTTTTGAATGTTTGAAAATTTTTATTCAGTTACAAATATTAAAAAAAATTTGAAAATTTTTAGTGTATATCTGAAAATCTGTGTAAATTCGTAAATATTGGAATTCTTTTGGCATTTTTCCTAGAATCTGAAATTTTAATTTTGATAGTATCAAGTATTCTCAACCTCTCCAAAATTTAGTCTTAAATTTTATAACTTTTATGATCTTTTTAAACACTTCAGGATTTCGAGAAGTTCTAACACAATTATTAAGTATCTCTTCTACCTGAGAACGTTAATTTAATAGAATTCTTTTTATAGAAGTTAAGATTTTTTTGTATTGTGATTAAGAGTAAAGTCACGAGATTTAACGGAAGTATCGAGGACTGTCATAGGACTTACCGTTGTCGTTGCCATTATTTGAGCCTTTTCGTCATAACGCAACTCGATTTCACCGGCAACGATTGATGTGTAAATCAAAACCAGAGAACAAGCGTAGACCAAACTTTCGGGCCACATTGTACGAACACGGTTAAAAGAGCTCATCGTTTATTATTACGGCTATTGTACCGTATCGTTCACTCTGTGCAAGATAACCTCAAAAAAAAACATCCAATATCTACAGACATACCGAAACCGCTATACTGCGTTTCCGTGGATAACCGTTCGTAATAAGGTTATGTTCCGCCGTCTGTGCGGAGCACCGCTAATTTTTCACGAATGAACGAACGCGGTTGCGTTCGGAAACACACACTGTGTGCACACTACTAGACAATAGCCGTTCGAACACTCAGCATGTTTGACTGGCTCTGGGTTAACCCACTCTGGGTTATTCAGCCTACATTTATTGGTCGAACAAGTATTTATAGGGTGCTTTCCAATTGCTTAACACATCTTGACACACACGTATACAAAACCAGTTTATTGGTCACATATTATCTAAAATATCTTGTAAGATAATATGCACCAATAAGCTGATTTTAGGTCTGTTCTTTGTAGCTGCACTGCTGAATTGGTGCAATATATTGAAGTGAGACAAATATATGTTTTCTCACTCTAACTTATTGCACTAGTTCAGTAGTGCAGCTATAAAGAACAGGCCTTTTGTGATTAACACAATGCAACTGGAAAGCACCCAAGAGTTTTATGATTGGCTAGTAGAGACGTATGACGTCATTAATCGCTCTCGGAGCGATTAACCTAGGGTCAGTCGAACACGTTATCAGTGTGGCTCGGTGTGCACTCGTGTGAGATCGTTCGGAAACGGAGAAAGAAACACACCGTGTACTTCTAAACTACTCGATGAAAAAGCGAGGGAAGTCGGTGTGAGCTGGTGAATTACTAGTTACCTACGTTATATGGTCTGTTCTTTTCAGCTGCACTGCTGAATTAGTATAATAAGTTAGAGTGAGAAAAGATAAAGCTGAAAAAAACAAATCAATAACCTTTTCATTTTCGCATCACTTCACAGTATAAAAATAGAAAACAAACTCCTAGTTTACACTAAAGCCAGCGGCACACGATGCTTGTTTTCGTGCTGTCCATCTTCAGAAATGCACCAATCAGAACAGAGTATTTCCATCCAGAAAGCAATCCAGCATGAAAACAAGTATCGTGTGCTGCTGGCTTAAGGGTCGGTTTCACCAACTCAGGTTAAACCAATCGACGGTTAAATTCTAACTACCATAAGTGCCAATATCGAGATTGAATATAAATTATTCATTGAGGTTCAATATGACACTGTTTATGACACGTCGCATCTGCTACTTTTAACCCTCGGTTAGCTTAACCGGAGTTGGTAAAACCAGCCCTAAAAGGTCATCTACAATGGCTGTAAGAATATGGCTGTAAGGCTGTAAGACGCGAAATAAATTATTTTCATTCGCTGACAGCTCACGTTACAGTCTTACAGCCATATTCTTACAGCTATTGTAGAATGGCCTTAAAAGTCACACTGGGTACCTATTATGGACTTCTTCGAAATCAAATCCGATCGGAAACATTCAGATATTTCCTAGATATCTATTGTCTTTTCTAGGGGAAATGGACGTTTTACGTTGAGCTAGCCACATACACTTTTTGTGACAGTAACCGTAAGATTAACGTAAGAATTGACCAATTACGATCGATTATTCATAAAAATTCATAAAATGGCGACCTTACGATTCGACGATTCACAACATGATTGATCAATTCTTACGTTACGTCTTACGGTTAAGGTGCCAATACATGGGAGCGTTCCAGCGTTGAGCGTTAAAGCGTTACCCAATCAACGTATCAGGTCCCAGAAGTATATTTGTAGTTCTTGCGGAAAATGACACGTTGATTGGCTACCGCTTTAACGCTCGACGCTCCCATGTAAAAGTACCTTAAGAGTAGTAGTAAGAAATAAGCAGTAAGAAAATGGACCAATTCCATTCTCACGATTCAAGAATAATCGATTGTGATTGGTTCATTTTCTTACTGCTTATTTCTTACTACTACTTCTACTGTCATTGTAGAAGACGCTTAAGCGTCTTCTACAATGGCAGTAGGAGTAGTAGTAAGAAATAAGCAGTAAGCAAATTGACCAATTCCATTCTCACGTTTCAAAAATAATCGATTGTGATTGGTCTATTTACTTACTGCTTATTTCTTACTACTACTCCTACTGCCATTGTAGAAGACGCTTTAAAGGGATGTCTACATTGGAAGTAAATAGCAAGAAGTAGGAAGTAAGAGTAAGAAATTGACCAACCACAGTCGAATGTAAGAAGAATAATCAACTATGATTAGTCAATTTCTTATTCTTACTTCCTACTTCTTACTGCTTACTTCCAATGTAGACGTCCCTTTAGGGATATATATATAATATATGAAGGGGGAATGCTGGCACGAAAGTGTATCCAAGGATGCGTTCAGATTCCCTACCCGGGTACACTCTGTTACTAGAAACACTATAGTATATGTTACATATACTATAGCACTTCTTGTATTAGAGTGCATCCGGGTAAGGAATCTGAACGCAGCCCAAGATGGATGTGAGAGAGAAAGGTATACGTTCCTAGGTTGCATTCCAAAATGTTCTTTTTGAGGAAAATTTTACTCAATGCCTATAGTTCACATTACATACTATAGAATATCGAGTAAAATTTCCTCAAAAAGGATGTTTTGAAATCCTATTCGTCCTCTGTGCGCATGCGTTGAAGTTGACAAATTAGGTTAGGTCATAGAATTGACAGGAAATAAAAGTTACTTATTTTCTTCTCATAGAGCTCTGAGAATTTTTTCAGAATTTTATATTAATTTTCTAGTACTTCAAAAAAATTCAAGAAAACGCAAAAAATGCAGTACTACAAAGTTAATATAAAATTTTGAAAAAATTCTTCGAGCTCTATGAGAAGAAAATAAACAATTTTTATTTTTTGCTATTTTTCAGTAAAGTTGATAGAATTCAAGTAAAAAAAAAAAATATTGAAACCAATAATTTTGTAGTCCAGCAACACTGACGCATGTTGGTGCATGCGCATAGAGGAGGAATAGGTACCTTTCTCTTTCGCACAGATCTTTGATATACTTTTGGTCCACAGGAGACATACGCAATTCCTTCTCTCTCTCTCTCTATATATATATATATATATATATATATATATAATATATATATATATATATACATACATACATACATACGTACATACATACGTACATACATACTCTAAGTTGTAAACCGACACTAACACGGTTCAACGACAGATCAAATAAATCTTTATCTGCAAGGATCTTCTACAATGATATTTTTTATATATTTCAATTTTCGTCAATAAATGAAAATTGTTTAAATATACTTTTTTACTACTCCAATATATAAATCAAGGTTTCTTTTAAGCATGCATTCAACTTAAACGTGGTATAGATTACGCAAATGTTCTTCCTACTTTATATTCTTATTATATTTTATATTTCTTGAAATCCAAACACATCTATTTGTCATCTATCGACGAAATGATATAATAAATATCCGCATTATATCCTAAAATTAACAAAATATCTTTGTTTTTTTCTTGTTGTCTCTGCCTTGGTCTAAAGTGTGCAATTTTTTCTTTTTTAGAAGCTTTTCTTCTTCCTCCAAAGACATCTTTTTATAAATTTAAATGCAGCATCCGTCGTAACAACAACCAACCTTAGCCAATAATTTTTATATATATATCCATTATTGTTATTAATATTATTACTATTATAATAATTCGAGAAAGACGTTGCGCGAAGCGGATAAATCAGTTGTGAACAGTAATTATATTGATTATACAAGCCTTCCAATGCGCGTCTGTTAAGTCGCGTTAGCGAGAACGTTGAGAAAAATGATAGAGAAAAGAAATTACGCAAGTGCCCGGGATATAATTGTTGCTACATTGTTCCCTCGCCGTGAAGTAACTTGCTTGCGAAAAATCGAAAGAACGAAAGTGAAAATAATAAAAGAGGAGGCAAAGACACACTAAATTGCGTCCACTAAATTTGATACTAGATTACTCACATCATTCTACATAACTATGTTTCAAGCAGGAATTGATAACAATATAATTTTGTTAAGTTCAGATTTGGATACCGGGGAGATATACGATAGTGATCTCTTATCTTCAGCGATAATATTTAATCGCGAATGAATGAAACGCGACGTTTGACATCAGGTTTCTTTCTTTGGATACCTGCAACGCCAGCAATTAATTCACCGAAATTACACAGCTTACAATTCTCGATTTCGAGTGAGCCAACAATACGACCTAAAGATCATCAAGTCGCCTTTATCCCTAGTAATTTACATCCGATTCTATACAATACAATGGTGTACATACTGTGAGCTAAAAGAGCTTTCGACTATTCGCTTAAAGATTCGCTATGGATCGAACTGTTTTTCTCGTTAACGTTATAAAGCCTGTTCCACGATTCGCGACTGTAACTTTAACAATAGATTCTCTGAGCAATCCAGGAGTTTATTTTCAGATTATTTTAAGTTTAAATTCTTGAAAAGCCAAGATTATAATAGAAAGTTATGAAGAAAACAATATTACATCTATATTTTGAAAAAAGAAAAACGAAAGTTATAAATTTAAGAAAATTTTTAACATACAATTTTTTTATGGATTTAAGATAATATGAAAACGAGCTCTTTTTAGCTCAAAATTGGTTATTTCCGTAAATATATCAAGAGATATTGTAATTTTATAATTTTTATATTACATATCTTTGTATTACAAATTTTTAACACGTTTAATGCCATGTGTGTGCTAATTTTTATATATTATTTCAAATTTTAAATTTGAAATGAAAAATACTTTCCCTGATATATATATATATATATATATATATATATATATATATATATATATATATATATATATATATATATATAT